AGGGCGGCTGTTCAGGCAGCATCTATGCCTGCTGCACCGTAACTGTGGCCCCCGAGGAGCCCCAGAGGTGGCAGGTAGCACGGGCTCAGAGGCCAGGTGGGCTCCACCACCCACTAGCTGTGCAATCCTGAACCACAGAGACGCTGGCTTGCTCCCGGCCTGCGTTTCCTCCTGTAATTACATTTTCCTTGTAAAAGCAGGCGATATTAATACTTGACCTACTTCACAGGCTTTTGTGCGTATGAAATGAGGAAATGTATTTGAAATTACTTTGTGAACTCCGCGGTGCTCTACGCAGGCAGGTTTTATCAGACACTCCATAAATACCAGGAGAATGAAGACCCGAGGCCGGCTAACGGTTGAGTTTAGTCGTTGTGGAGTGAGACTAACTTGGGTTCAAGTACTGTCTCTGAGCATCCGCCCTTCCCCAGCTGTGAGAGCTTCAGTAAGTGTTCAACCTTCAGCACCAGGACTTTCCTCGGCTGCAGGAAAGGAGCGCACTGTGCCTGGCAGACGGCAGCTGCTCTCCGAATAAGGTTACTGATGCTAATTGAAAGTACATATTGAAACTAATAACAGCAATGTGCATGACTTCCAGCTGTGGTTCTCAAAGTGCAAACCCCAAGCCACCATCACCTGGGACTTGTTAGAAATGCGAATTCTTGGGCCCCACGCCAGAGTTACTGAGCTGGACTTTCTGGGGATGGGGCCCAAGAAACAGTGTTTTAACAATCCCGCCAGGAGCTGTGAATGCCTGCTCAAGTTTGAGAGCCACTGTTGTCTGCCAAGGCTGAAAGCTCATGCTAACACCTGTTGTCACCCGTACAGGCTCACTATGTGCCAGGCTCTACTTCAAGTTCTTAACCTATCTGAACTTATTCAATCTTCTCCACAATAATGCCAGGTAGTTATTATTAGTAGTCCCTGTTATGTGGAAAAGGAAACTGAGACAGAGAGGTTAAGTAGCTTGCCTGGGGTCACACAGCTGTTAACGGCAGAGTAGGAAAATTTGGCTCCAGAGTCCAAATTCTTAACCACTTTAATCTGAGGAACTTCTCCTTTAGATCTAAGATATTACAAAAAAGCGATCATGGATCAGGATATAAAGCGATCAGTTCTGGAAGAATCAGGATATAAAGCGATCAGTTCTGGAAGAATCAGGATATAAAGCGATCAGTTCTGCATGCTCCAGAGCTGCCAGGGGAGGGGTAGGGCTGAAGGATGCTCCAAGAGGAAGGGGACAAATACACAGGGACTTGCTGCAACAGCAGTGAAGATGACAGTTCTTCAGAGTTAGTTCTCTCTCCTTAGGTGAGAATGTCCCCTAATTCTTCAAGGTTCTGATCCCCCCATCACCTATCTGCCCCACCTGGCCTCTGCCTGGCTCTGAATGCCCCCAGCGCCCCAGCTAACCCAAGAGCTTGGGGGGTTGGGGGGCACACTCAGTTCCTTGAACATCTTTCCCTCACAAGAGCCTGGTGGCAAAGCTGTCCAGAGTTCTAGAAAGTTAAAGATGAAAGGTACATAGAGAAGATCCTTTCATTGAAGACAAAGGTGGGGTAGGAAATGATTTCCATTCATTCCTCTCTCAGTGTCTAGTGATTTATGCAACAGGGTAGGGGATGGAAGCTTCTAGAAGTAATCTTCCTTGATCTCACCCCTAAAATCCATTTCCACCCAGCCCGCTGATGCTGTAAGTGCCACCTGTTCACACACAGTGGTTCTCAGACCGCCATTCAGCAGGTCACTTGTGTCTGAGTCAGGGGCCTGGCTTATATCTGAAGTTCCTGGGAGGCAGGAAACGGGCTCTCTCAGTCAAGTCGTGTGGCACGTCATGAGTGTCTTCCGAAAAGTAGGGTGCTGAGGGGCACCCCTCCCAGAGTGCAGGGTGCCAGGGCCTCCATCAGGCCAGTGGATAGGGGAGCTGGGGCTGCATCCCAGGGCAGGCAGGAAGCCCAAGCCTGGCTTCTCTCCTTCCCAGCACATGGCTTTGAGTCTCTGCGTGGCACACAAACCACCCATTTCAGCGGCTCAGGATGAGGCTTCAACCAGAGTGAGAGATGGAATGTGTTCTGCAGGCCACAAAGCTCAGGATACATCTACCATATTAACATCATTAAGTATCATTTTTACTATTAAAGAGATATGGAGGAGCAGCAGGAACAGGAAAAGTACATCTCAGAGCTGACGGGGCCAGGTCTGAGCGTGGCCGTAGCATCCTGGGGAACATAAGCATAGTGTAAGGAGGTACGGGGAGTGGAAGGCCCCGGGGCCCCCATGTTACGTTGTAATGCTCCCCAATGTCTGAGACGTTCCCCAGAGGAAAGTGTATTGTGGGAAATGTGATAAACTATTATAGAAACACAAAAAATATTTCTATTACCATTTTAACAACCTGCCCAAGGTCACACAGCTAGGAAGTGGTAGGGTTGGGACTTGACCCAGGTCTTCTGACTCCAAGCACAGTGCCCTTCTCAATGTCCCAGAGCCTCTTTTCTCTGGTCAAGCACTTACTCTATGCCAGGCACAGTTCTCAGTCCTTCAGCCTAACTAGCTTGAAGCAACCCTACATGCTAAATATGATTCGTATTGCCATTTCCTTGATTAGGAAACTGAGCCACAGGGAGTTTAATAAGAGATGAATAAGATACAGTCCTTTTCCTAAGGCAGCTCACTGAAGAGTATGTGGGAAAAATGCATAAAAGGCCAGAGTAGTGATGTGCAGAGAAGAGCCCAGAGGAAGGTCCCGAGGGGGTGCGTGTGAGTGTGTTGGGGTGCAGGTGCCTGGCATCAGAGAACTCCTTGAAGGACCAGGAGAGACCAGCCTGGACATCCAGGAACCTCTCTCAGATGCTACTAGTGTCCTCATGGAAACATCTAGCAGACATGCCCGGTCATGACCTGTGGTGCAGCCACCATGGGTGGTGGTGGGGAAGGCAGAGTCTACCACTGGCTTGTTGCACTGTCCCCTCTCTCCCCCCGTCTCTCCCCTCCCCCGGCCCCACGCCCAAGCAGGTCCCAAGGGGGTGGGGAGTTGGGGCAGTGGTCTGGCACCTCTGTTCCATCATGCATCTGCTCAGCCCCAAAGGCCCAGACACTCCAATCTCCCCTCACCAGAGCAGACTCAGGTACGTCGTACCTCCCCACCCCTGTTCCCCGCACATACCCATACCAGTTTATAAATCAGCCAGGCACTTTATTAATCTACCGTGAGACTCTCGGTTGACACCCGACAGTGACTTGGCACATTTTCTTGTCAAGAGCTGTTGCCTTGTTAGGAAATCAAATTGGAATCTGGCAGCTTGCAGGTGAACGCAGAAGCCAGGACGGGCAAGCAGCTGGAGGACAGAGCCAGCTCGCCAGTGGCCAGGGACTTCTGGGCAGCAGACAGAGCTGTCCCTTGGATGAGCAGAAGCAGGGAGCTCAAAGCCTTGCGTCTGGACAAGTCCCTCCCTGTGTTTCTGCAGGACGTGCTGACTGTGCACAGTGGACATTCATCATCAGTGACAGGTGGGGCTGAAGATCCAGTGCCTTCCCTCGCGGAGAGCCTACTGCAGAACTTACCTCCATCACCTGGAGATTCCTGCCTGCCCGCAGCCATGCGGGTGTGGGAGGGAGGAAAAGTGTGGCTTGTTTGATGGACATGACAAGAGATTTTGCTGTGCTTGGTGCACTTTCTTTGGCCCACATTTAATCCTATTTCCTTCTCTGTGGAGTCAGGCGACCATCCAAAGTGCTGCCCAACAGATCCGGGAGGATGCTACGAACCGTATCTTGCAGGGGCGTGGAGGTATCAGGGTTCTCACTCTGCTAGCAGGCGTGGCTGTGGCACCCTGCTGCTTAGCGATGCTGAATGCTGCCAGTGGGACTAGCCTTGCCCTAATCAGGCTGCCGAGAAGGACTCTGGGGTCAGAGTGCGGGGGCTGGAATCCTGTTTCACTACTGTTAGCTGTGCGACATTACGCCTCGATTTAGCATCTCCAATCTGTTTCCTCAGCTGTAAGGTGGGCATGGCAATGGCCTTGCCCCTCCCCAGCTGAGCATGGCCAAGGTGTGTCTGCACAAGAGCAGGACTCACGGTGAGGCAGATGCTGGGGGTCGGTGGGCACCGGGAGAGGAGGGGAGCGAAACAGCCAGGGCCTTTGGAGAACCCGGGGGAGGAATTCCCAGGCAAGCTTTCCAGGTGCAGGTCTGTGTTCTCAGGGAAGTTCTACTGGGGGCTGGCGCTGGGACAAAAATCCATGCAGGCCACAGGCCACACCCAGCAGGCTGCACCCATTAGAGCAAGAACGAAACCCAGACTAGGCACTGAGGGTGGACTGAGTCTCAAGGGAGAATGGGGCTGGAGCCCAAGGCAGATGGCCAGGACGGCAAACCTTAGTGATGCCCGCAGGCTGTTCTGATTTGCGTCAGCACTGCCCTGGGCAGGTGTGCAGGAGGCGGAGAGGCAGGGGGCTGGGTGGGCAGACTTGAGTTCTAACCCCAGCCTCCCAGGGCCTCAGCTCCTCCTGCAGTTGTGGAAGTTGGAGCCCACGCTCTAGAGCAGCAGTCCCCAACCTTTTTGGCACCAGGGACTGACCGTTTTCACAGAAGACTATTTTTGCACGGATCACAGAGGGAGGGGATGGTTTCAAGATGATTGAAGCATGTTACATTTATTGTGCACTTTATTTCTATTATTATTACACTGTAATATGTAATGAAATAATTATAAAACTCACCACAGGTTGGGGACCCCTGCTCTAGAGGCAGTCTAGCACAGCAGAGAAGGCCAAGGGCACCAAGACCTTCCACAGGTTACCTGACACTCTGGGCCTTTCTCCCTAAGAAATGGGGCAACAGCCTCCCTCATAGGAATGTGAGCGGGGGCCCAGTGGACGCATGTGATGTGTGGAACGGTGCCCGGTGTTCCCAGCACAGGGCCGGGCTCCCAGGGAGCAGACAGGCCCCCACCAAGTGCTGGCCTGGAGCTGGCTGGCAGACCAGGAGGGTGCCCTCACCTGCGGATGGTCCTGAGCAGGGTGGAGCGGGCCTCATTGTGGAAGGTGATGATGATGCTGGTGGGTGGGAGGTCCGTATAATACACCAACAGGGTGCATCTGGGGAAGGAAAGGCAGAAGACGGTGAGACTTTGGGGGACAAAGTGGACCTGAAAGTCTAGAAACCAGGGTGTTGGCTGGTCACCAGTTTGACAGACACTGTCTGTCAAAGGGACCTCCCCAGCTTCAGAGCACTGGGTAAGACCCCAGGGCCTCACTGGGCCCTAAGAGGGGCCAGGGAGCTCAGAGAATGACTGAAGCCCAATTTCCCACCACCTTGGGGGAATCTGGGCTTGGAGCCAAATCAAGGTGATATGCAGAAAATACAGGTGGCATTTCTCACACACCTCAGTTAGTGCCCAGTGGTCCCTACCAGCCACATGAACACAACCCCAAGTCTTGGGCTCTGCTCCCCAGTTGGTGTCCTTCCAGCTTTTCCTCTCGGGCCACTGGCCAGCGGGCAGATGCTTCACCCTGTTCTGGGCCAACAGCTCCAGCCCTCTGTGCCGTGCTGCCCCGGCCTCTGCCACACACACCTGAATCTGGCATGTTTAAAGAGGTGGAGCCCCAAACCCCAGTATAAGCAATAACACCCCGTCTTGAAAAAGCATTCACTCCCATGTATCCAGGATTATTTTGTATGACAATTACATCTGGGGTAATTTCAATTTAATACCTCGCTACAAGTGAAAATTGTACCCTGCAGCCCGAAAATTACTATAATAATGAAAATAAACCCGCTGAGTGAGGCTGGTGCCACCAGGGCTACCACTGGGTAAATGCTTCCTCCTGTTTCTTGCTATTTCAGGGGTTGTCCAATTATTGGGGGGGTGTATTCAAGAAAAAGTAAATAGCAGACTTTTGGGGAGTCAAATGTTTGCTCTTTTCATTTTCCCATTTTTCTTAGGCCTGGGGCTTTTAATGTGGGTTCCAGTGACCCAGGAACAGGCCTCAAGGGCGGGTGAGCCCTCTGAAATTGCTTGCAAACTGTGTGTGCAAATGTGCATTTTTTCCTTGAAAAGACAGTTTTCACTAGATTATAAAAGAAGTCTTTGGCCTAAAACACTTAAGAGCCTCAGTGCCAGGCCAACGGGCCTGATGTCTCTTTGGCTCCCTGGTAACTCTGAACGGCTTAGCGCAAGGTGATGGAGCAAGGACTCGTTCAGAGGATGCCAGGCTGTTCTGCTCAGGACCAGCATGGGCTGGGCTGGGCTCATCCACAAGGAGCTGAGAGTTGGGGAAGGAAGGGGCCAGGGCCAGAGACAGTGGGAAGGGGAAGCCATGACCTTCAGGCCTGTCCTCTCCCCACACAGGCAACTTCTCATATGTCCTTTTAGCTCCGCCTCCTGAATGCATCGCTCCTCTCATCTCCATGGCCCGGCTCAGAGATTCTTTACTCCTCCTGGGAGCACTGCAGCAGCCTCCTGCCTCCTGCCTCCTGCTCCAGGCTCTGTCCTGCCAGTCCTGTCCTGTCCACCAGCCAGGTCTGCCAGGCCCTCCACTGGCCTGAATCCCTCCTGCAGTTCCTGATGTATAAAGTCCAAACTCCCCGTCACAGCTTTCGAGATCTTCCACAGTCACGGTCTCATATGCCACCATAACTCTCTGCCATTGCTCATGCTGTCCCCTCTGCACGGAGCAACGTCCTGCCTCCTTTCTTCACCCGAGGAGCTTCATCCTTTGTCCCAGAGCAAATGTCCCCTCTGCTGTAAAGGTTTCTGAACTCCCCCAGATAGGTAAGGACTTGTCCTTTGTGCTCCCATAATTCTGTACATATCTCCTTTTTAGCACATCTCATGATAAGACTGTCTCTCCCACTATGAGTTCAACTAGGGAGGGACCCATGGCCTTGTCCATCTCTATATCCCTAGACCAGGACTTAAGCATACCAGATGCCCATTTATAGAGAAAGGGAGAAGGAAAATCAGGAAATCCATGCCTAGGTCAGCTGAAGATTAGCCTTTTCCAGTCTTCCAAGGTGTGGCGGCCAGCGTCCCAGATGGCTTCCAGTGGCTCTCACCTACCGGTTTTTATGCCTTCCTCACTGAATCAGGGCAGTTCATGTGCCCAACAGAATATGGTGGAAGTAATACTGTGACTTCTGTAGTTAAATCATAACAGCAGTGCAGCCTCTGCCTTGGCTGCCTGGAGGGGAGCCAGCTGCCAGGCCGTGAAGACACTCATGTAGCCCTGTGAGAGGAACTGTGGCCACCTGCTCACAGCTGGCACCAACTTGCCAGCCACAGCAATGAGCCACCTTGGAAGCGGGTCCACCAGTTCCAGTCAAGCTTTCAGATGGCAGCAGCTACAGTGTACTTTCAGCTGCAGCTCAGCGAGACTCTAAGCCAGAAGCGCCGCCCAGCCAAGATGTTCCGAACTGCTGACCCATGAATGCTTCCTGTTGTTTTAAGCCACTAAGTTTAATCAGGAGTGATTTGTTTGCATTAAATAACTATTATAAAAAGAGACATAAAATGCCTTGAAACGGCCCCCAGTGAGACGCTTGGACTTGCTCGTCTTTGGACACAGACCTGACTCAGCAGCAGTGGGGAGGGAGGAGGGCAGGCGGCCAGCCGAGGTGCAGTTGGGTGGCCCTAGGTTGGTAGGTCGCAGGTCCGTGAGAGTATGGAGGGGCTTAGGCTGGAGCAGAGGTGGGGGGGAGCCAGCACAGTCAGCACCAAGGGGAACAGGTGATGTCAGGGACGGGGAAACCATCTGTCCCCCTAAAGGAAGGTGATAAGTCAGACGACAGAGGCTCCTGGTCTCTCCATCAGAGTCAGGGAACAAAAGAGACAGCTTGAGCTAAGCGTCTCAAAGGCCACTTCTGAGAACACTGCCAGGACTGGGGTGTGTCCAGTGGCTAAGACCCAAGCTTCTCCTGGCTGCGGTGGCCCCTGCCATGGGGGGAAGATGTTCTGAAACCCCCTCGAGGGGTCAGGCCCTGGGCACTGCCTTGGAGATGGCTTCCCCTTCCACATCTTGGGAGGCAGGGGGACCCCAAACCCTAGCTTTTGTGATGTAAGTTATTCAGGGGCAAGTTGGGGAGGGAGGGTGGTACTGCAAGTTATCTGCTTAGAGAGCTCTGGGGACAGAAGCCACTTTCCCTGCATTGAAGGCGCCAGCTAGGGCAGCAGGTGTGTTGGTGCATGACACAGAAGTGTGCACACACAGCGGAGGTGCAACCCTGCTTGGGGTGAAGGAGGAGGTGCGGGGTCTCGCGGGTGAGGCAGGGAGGGGCAGACAGACAAACGGCACAGAATCCCAGTCACAGGCACAGATCTGGACCTTCAGGCTAAGTGGGGTAGTTCACAGAATCCTGGCCTGGGGTCAGGACACGAAGGACCAGCTGTGGGACCTTGAGCAAATCACCCCTCTCCAGGCTGCTGTCTGCTCCGCTGCAAAACGGGGTGGGCCCACATTCAAGAAGCATGGTTAATTTCAATGGACTGTCACAAATACCATTTTGCAGCTGACGCTCCACTGTGTCAGTGGGCATCCAACTTTACTTTTCTGAGCTTCAGTTTCTTCTGCTGGAAAGTGAAGATAATTCTTAACTTGAAGATTTTTTCCCCCAGAGTATTACTACGATAGGTAACAACAGATGCTTAACAAATAGTAATTACTGTTATTTTTAACATCAGTGCAAATCTGCAGACGACCCAGCCTGCTGGGTGGATCCAGAGCTTGCATGGGCTGGAAAGACGTCTTTCGTGAGTGGTTCTACCCTGTCCCCGCAGCAGGTAAGCAGCACAGGAGGCAAGAGAAGGAGGAGAGATCAGAGCGTGAGGCATCAATGTTACTGAGCAGAACCTGGGCTCTAACGCCTGCATTTCAATCTGGATATGCCAAGAACTGTCTGTGCACCCTTGGGCCCGTCATTTACCTCCTCTGTGCCTCAATATTGTCATCTGTAAAATGTGGCTAAGTACGAAGTCTTGTTGCGAAGACTGCAGATAATGTGTGCAGAGCACCAGGTGTTTAGTGGGTGCTGAGTAAGTGGTTGCTACAGTCGTTGTCATCACAACCGTGGAGCGGCTGGGCCAGCCTCCGTGCGGTGTCCAGTGCGTGTTGACCGGAATCACAAGCTCGTGGTTTAGGAAAGGAAGTGACTGTGGGGATGACCCAGCTCAGCCTCCTGAGCTGGCCTGACCGTGGTGACACGGCAGGTATCAGTTGGAGCGTGGGCGGTTGTGCTGCTGGTCTCTGAACCCTCCAGCCTCCGGTGCCTGCAGGGGAAGGGAAGGGGGCTCTACTGAGGCTCGGCAGGAATCCTGTGAACAGGCCGGGGAGGGCAGGCGGCAGGGTGCTGTCTCACACCTCGCAGGCTTGAAGGGCATCACAGGACATTCTTCCCACCCCTGTTCGCAGCTCAGGGTGCCCACACTCACCCCTTGCCTCATCTGACCATCACAACAGACTTCGATAATACCCACTAGAGATGAGGTAAACTGAGGCTCAGACTTTTGCTCAGGGTCACACACCTGGTGAGTGACTGAGATGATGGAGCCCAGGTCCCCTGACTCCTCACCTGGTGCTTGTTCCCAGCACCCACTGTGAACTCCCCCGGTTCAAGGCACAGGAGCCTGGCACTGGTGCTGGCAGCTCCCACCTGCCGCTGTGCCCTGCGCACAAGTCACTGAGTGTGAGGCTGGCCAAGAGGCCGAGAGAACCCTGAGAGCTGGACAGCACGTGAAGAGTCGGCTCAGACAGTGGGCTCTCTGTGGGAGGATGTAAAAGATTAATCAAATAGCGAGCTCTATTAGGGCCATGAGGGAATGGAAACGCCTGCCAACACTGAGCTCTGGCGCCGGCCCGGACGGGAAAGCATGTTGATTTATTAAAGAAGCAAGGTTTTACTGGAAAGAAGAGCCAGCAAGCAGGAAAGATCGCTGTGGGGGCGGGGGACACCAAACAAGTCTCGGGGAGCCAGGAGGCAAGGCAGGTCCCCGCCGTGTGTGGAAACACACTCCCAGGGTCTGCAGGCCTGCCAGCCAGGGCCACTCGTGAGCAAGGCACGCTCCTCTGAGCTGATCTGCAAAGTGACGTTTCTTTCTCTTTTG